AGCTAATCATTGTAGACCGTATGCGTTACAGTTTACACGAAGGCAAACAAACTGAATCCGTGTTGTGAAATAAAGGTTGAAACCGAGAAACGTAGTTACAACAAGTTTTCCACTATGGTATGTCAATATTTCCTTTCCTTATATGTACTCTTTGTGTGTGGAAAAATTTTTGTCCGATCATCTCGCTCGCAAACTCATTGTGATTCTTTTTGCTCCTTTTCTGACTCAGGGGAAACTGAATCGGATCGGAAATATCCGCCAAACAAGAACACGAGAACACCGAGTGAGGCTCGGCAGAGTGCAAAGATTTTTCACCGCTGTATTGTCTGTGATCACCACAGGCTCTATTCCAAAACAAAGCCGCTCTAAAGTTCCCTTCAGCTTTGAAAATCCAGGTGAGAATGTTTCTTCTTTTTGTTGGTTTTTCAATTACTATTTTTTTCTATTACTATCAGAGGAACTAAATAATTACAAAGTGAAGTGAGAAGGATAAGTGGGCCGGGATCTGCGACCGGCCGAGACACACTAAAAAGACAATTTTATTTTGATAAACATTGCTTAGAAACGTGACATCATCTTCACGACGCTACAAACCGCCGTAAGGAAGCTGAGGTTTGGAGTGTTTGCGTCGGTTTGAGAAAAGTCGGGGATTATGGGTTAAATCAGTGTGTTTGCATAGTGGCACAAGGAGTATACGATAGCAACAGAAAATACATGAATGAATTAGTTAAATGAAAAACGTTTTTTATCCCATAAGGAGCCAAGGAAAGTTGGTGTGAGCCCGAACACCAACCACGATTTCAGAAAAGAACATTAAAGCTGTCCTTAACTGGCCTTAACGCACTCGAGAATATGCATTACGAAATTATTACTTTAAATGGAAAATCATCACAAAGGTTCACGTAAAGCATTTTAAAATTAACCATCCAATAAGACTGCGCAAAAGCCCCGTTATTTACTTTAGTTTTACAAACAATGTAAACGCCTGTGAAATAAGTTACGATTTTACCCGACGAAACTGCATTGTAATATTTAAGTTAAATCTAACGTTGACTTTTATCTCTATTTTTGTTTTGTTTTGGCTTTTGATTGTTAGTTCATGGATCACAAACAATCGAGGAGTTTCTTGGTTTGACAAATTCAAATGCAGCTAATGAAATCGAAGACGAACATTTGGGAAGCAGTCGGCGGAGTTACTCCTGTACTCACGTGACTAGTCTATTGAGAGAGCAGAAGGAGCCTGGGACACAACGTACGGCATGTATCACAAAAGAAGGAAGGAACTGGGTCCCAAACGCTGGAATTCTATTCAGCACTAACGTCGAAAAAAATATCTCACAGCTTGAAACTCTGGTTCATAACAGTTCTTGTAAAGAACAGTCAAATGAAAACAAAAGAAAAGGAAATACAAGGAAACTCTTTGCTGGAAATGATTTAGATTCCAGGGATGAAGAAACTGTCTTGATGCCTGAAACCACAGTAACGTCACAATCATCCCACATCATCTGTAGCGGGCAGAACTTGGGGGAATCAGACAGCGCAAAGGAAAGTCATAAAATGGGCTCAGCAAAACAGGAGACAAAGCCCAGAAGACTTCAAAGATTCTTTTCGGCTGCTATGGCGTCAGTTCTCGCTGGTCGTGTTTCAACTGCTCAAAGATATGATGTGCCTTTTAGTTTTGAAAATCCAGGTGAGAGCTTATTTTCAGGAAGCCGGCGCAAAAAATTACATTTTGTTTTCCGGTCGGATCAAATGAGGTAGTATAAACCTTGGAAAATTAAAGCTTCCTCTCCGAAATACGTATTTTTAAATGTTTTTAAAACTGAATTAGCAAGTTATCTATGATACAAGCTTATATAATTCTATTTTACTTCCAGTGCACGAATCCAAGACAATTGAAGGCCCTCTTAACTTAGCAGATTGGACAACTCTGATTGATGACAAACGCGAACGAAATGAGGTTCATCACACCGAGTGTTACGTCGAGTTCAACAACGGCGATTTAGACAACTATAACGTGCTCTATGGACAATGATAAACAGCCAAGAAATCCTCGTCTTCTTTAATATTGGGTATTTTATTTCTCAAGGTGGAGATGTAACTTGTAGTATTTTCTCTATCCGAAGTTTGAAAGTGTATTCCAAACCGAAGAACAGAAAATTAAAATACTCACTCTACAGTTAATTTACAACGTATAATTTCCAAAGTGACATTTAACATAAATATCCGCGGTTCAAAGCCCATAGAGTACAATTTCCGTATTTTTTCGCATTTGTACTTCACACATGTTCAGAGCGACTTTGACAACAGAAACATTTTCAAAGACCATTCTTGTTGTCATTTCTATGAATATCTTTTCACTGACTGCTCTTTCAGGCAATAAACTCTAATCCAACAAGATGCAACATGTTCCAAGTGTCAGCTGTGTTCTGGGTGAAAGTGTTCTGCAGCAAATGCTCGGGCTTCAGCGATTCTTGAGCGGCTAAAATATAATAAGAGACCAAAATAACAAATTAACAACAGTTTGTCACTCTGGCTGAGACTGTGCGCCATGTTTAAACAGTGCTTACCATTTATCCAAAAAAATCAGAAAATTTCGGTTGAAAGTCAAATGGAAAAGTAATTTTCTGGAAAATCCGTTCGAGAATTGTAGACTACCTCCAGAGGTAGTCCTCTTTTTCCGTTCGGAACATAATGGCAAATTTTCCAGTTTCCAGTCTCTCATCAGCTTAAAACAATTACGGGAAATCATCTCGTTCGGTTGGTTTGTTGACTGTGGAAAAACCCTTCCCATTATTTATCGGTCATCTAAACCGGCTTATTCTTACAAATGGTAAGCCATCAATATCTTTGAGTTGGTTTTCTTCATCGATTGGCCGATGAAAAAACCCAATAGTCCGGCGGGCGCGAAACGGACCCAATTTAAATTGCACGTAATTGGGAAAAGCACGTGCAGTGGTTATGAGTGGCTCTGGATTTAGAAAACCAACATTAACACCAAACCCTCATTGGAAAAACTTGAGCGTGTGGAAACGCTATTACGCCGTGCTCGGAGAAACACCAGTTTGTTCATTCTTTAGTACCAAAGAGCAGGTATCGTTGAAAGCAACGAAAATTACTTAATTTGGTTGATTTTGATATGCAGTAGTAAGAGACAAAATGCTTCGGCCTTCCTCCCCACTGACCTGCTGCACCGACTGGAGGGTCTTCCCTCCCCAGCTGTACCCGGGCGGGAAAAATTGGCCGAGTCTGAATCAAACATCGCCGACCCTGAAACAGCAAGAAAAAGGTAGTTAGTAAATTGAAAACGACAGAAGCATGAGGTTTGGCGAATCTTCTACCTTAGAGGTGCTCATGACAAGCGCACTGGCCTAGTTCGAATCCTGATAGTCAAGTCCATGAACTCTTTCTTCTTCGCCCCATATAGGCGAATCTTTGCTGACGTCATTGTTTACATTTTTCCTCATTAGCATACGACTTGACTCATAGA